ATGGTCAAAGGGGGGTAGCTCTGTACAGACTGTGGACTTGAATGTGAATGGTCACACATTCAGTTGACATACGTTCGAATATGAATTTGATCATCGGTAAAAGATATGCACATTATACTAATTGCCCAAAACGTTCTTGGGCACAAATATCACATTTGAAGAAAGTATGATAACCTGTAAAAGTTGTCGTAAAGGATTATCATGTTATTGCCGTGAAGAACCCGCTTAAAACTGACCTTCATACACACACACACACACACACACACACACACACACACACACACACACACACACACACACACACACACACACACACACACACACACACGTCTTATAGGTGGTATATTGTGTGTCAGCAAAGTATGTTCAAGTCCCGCCGGTCCCCCTCGACCCTGTGATAATTGACCAGTCCGTTAAGGTCGATAGCAAGCATAGGTTGCACAAAAAATTCTCACCCGGATTTTCACAAGGATAAAAGAAGGTTAAGCCTACTCAAAATTGCATATATTCCTACTACAGGATTTCACAACACCCACTGTTACTGGAGGGTACAGGTTTGGGAATTACTGCTGTCTAGTTGAACAGAGACATCATCCGGGGTAGAACAGGTCTTCAGGAACCCATGCTTGTCGTAAGAGCCGACTAACAGGATCGGGTGGTCAGGCTCGCTGACTTGGTTCATGCCTGTCATCGTATCCAAATTGCGTGGATCGATGCTCATGGTGTCAATCACTGGATTGTCTGGTCCAGACTCAATTAGTAAGAGACCGCCGTTATATAGCTGGAATATTACTTAGTTCGGCGTTACAAACAACAGACAAATCATGTGTTTTCATATATTTTATATCAGATGTTTGAAATCAATATATGTGACTTTATAAATATCTGACGTAACGACAGGCTGCTGTTTCTTATACGTCAAAGATGTCTTGCTAATTACGCCATTGAATTTATGTGAACATTTGTCAAAATGGCGTTGTATTTAACTTGACATGTGTTTTATATAGCTTGTCTACATATCAAGCAATATTAAATGTCAGTATTGTGTAAATGTACCTTTGAATGTCAAGGTGGTCACTCTTTAGTGTTGTCCATTGTTATCCTTCAGTGTTGTTCAGTGTGCGGCGTTCAACAGCACAGAAACAAACAAATGATGTATTTCTCCACCTTCTATGCATGGCGACCAATCGCATCAGAGTTTATTCTGCGCCAGATTAAGATATCCTGTTCGAGACGACGTTGTTACTGACGCCTCAGCATTGTGTTTCTTTATCGGACAATACCGAATTACACAGTGCTTCAACGAACACAGATTTGCTGAAAGATTATCAGCAAAATAAAGGATTAGTCGAGAGTGTTTGAGGTTGTGTATAGACTGATACACTAGGGAATGTATCGGTACATGTAGAAGGTACACATGGGTATACGTACTGTATACCCCAAACCGGGCGACTACATATACAGATATATATAGCCCATTTCATGTGATGGCTGAGTGTCCCAGCTGGCAAAAGTAACTGAAACGTACATAAAATATACACAAATTACATGTACATCATTTTCACACACACGTTTCTGCACTATTTCAAAGACATTCCCGTAGCTTTGATTGTGTTTCACGTAAGGATTTTAAAGAAATTAGTTCTGGACCTGACAAAATGTTTAGTTGGGCTATTTACAGGGAGAATTTACAGACCGCAGTCATACAGCTGAAACATTGCTGAGAGCGACGTCACCGAGAGCTATTTGTATGACGCCTCACCTATAACCCTACAAGGTTATCCATGGTAAGAATACCTGAAGTTTGTTATATGTTGCGGTACTGGCTACACAAACATCACATTGGATGATAATACTGGAACAACCTTTATTGGCAACTATCACTTACCATGCCTCCCCCCTCGTAGCTTTACAGTTACCAAAATAAACAATAAACGTAGAGAACCAAAGGCAATCGGCCCGCTCGTCTGTCTGGAAAACAAATGATTCAGATAGACTGTCTAACATTCCAAACCCAGCTGATAACGCTTCCGATTCCGTTATCAAGCGTGAGTGCCGACTCGTTCTGATACCTACAGCTGATTGGTCAATTCACTTCTTCGTGCCAGGATCCGTAGATTCTGTGTTTGATTCCTAAATTCGCCCAGATCATGAAACTTGGTTGGTCAGCACCATACCTGTACTTGCGGGCTTCTACCAACGCGATAAACGCTTTGTTTGTTGTTGAACATCGCTCTCAGCAATATTCCAGCTATGTGACGGCGGTCTGTAAGTAATCGAGTCTGGACCAGACAATCCAGTGATTGACATCATGAGCATCGATCCACGCAATTGGGATATGATATGCTAAGTCAGCGAGCTTGACCACCCGATCCCGGTTGTCGCCTCTTACGACAAGCATGCGTTGCGGAAGACCTATTCTAACCCGGATCTTCACGGGTGTGAGCTAAAGGATGGTGTAAATCCTGCAAGGGCACCATGCAGATAGCAGAGGTAAGTCCCCATGGTCCCTAGCATTGTCATCTACCTTTGGTGATCTCTAACCCGGATTGTATTGTGCCGTCACGTTATAGCTATATACTTAATATTATAAAGTAGTTCTCTTGTTTTAAAGAAGAATGTTACTCTAGTAGTTAATATACTGTGCTTTGATTTTTACATACCATCTATAACAACGTAACTTTTTTCACGATAAGGTGGAATTGCTGCCGATGTGGCTTAAAACTATAACTCACTCACTCCCCTGCTGAGGTTCAGGGACGTGTTAGAATAACATTTGACTGGAATATTGGCAAAGCAGTTTGCCTCCATGAGATAAACTGCTTGTTCGGTCTTTTTATACATTCTTTCAGGATTGCACCAGATCTATTTTTGTGACATGTTCAACAATTCAAGGAAAATTTTGAATTGTAACAGAAACGGAGAAACAATGGAAAGATAACTTTAGCATCTAACATCTGCTTCATATGGTCATTGGCCACGAGTCCCATCTGTGAGTACTAGAGATGAGGGGCTGTGGGATCGCCCACTGGTTAATGCGTTTGCTTATCACACCGACGACCCGGGTTCAATTGCCATGGGTACGCCGTGATATTACTAGGACATTGCTAAAAGTGATGTAAATACTCACTCACTCTACTCCCATGTCCATATCAGACTTGCTAAATACATCGTCAAACTCATTCCGTAGAGAGTGCAACTGAGTTATTTGATTTGGTAGAGACCCAGCTTTCTCGGGGATAAGCCATTCAACGCAGCAACTTGCTCCAAATGACAAAGTACTGTATGGGCTGGAATTGTACTGTATGAACCGGAAAGCACGGACTGTGTGGCCCAAAACTCCACACCAATCTTTGCAAATATCAGACAAACATATAGCTGAAATATTGCTGAGTGCGGCGTTAAACAACAAACAAACATAAAAGCCATACATACGCGGAAAATACTTAACTACTTAAAATTTTAACTACTAATGTGACAAAAAGACATTTTAAATACGAGATGTGATGTAATGTGTCACAAATATAAACGATGGAGCACTGTCACGAATTACAACTTATTTGTCTGAAAATTTCTTCGCTGGAAATAGGGAAGATGGAGTTTTAATGAATTCATGGCATTGCGTGATTGAAGTAGTTTGGTTAACAGGAGACATCCCAGTAAATGGAGAACTAAGTACAGATGGCCTCAGACCACGGTTACCCCCATAGTTTTACCATGAAGGAAAATATAGCGCCCTGTTTAGAGGCTTTACACTCTGTGACATTTGTTCCTGAGTGACCTGTGATACCATACATGAAAGATTAACAATTTTATTTTTGAGAAGTTCTTTTGATTCACAAGCTGTATTGGTAATGACTCCTGCTTTCCATTATTTGACCCCAAGTTCAAGGCCGATGTGCTGCGACTCGATACTTCCGGTAACGATTGTTGACAGTGGTTACTGCAAAATCTAGACAGTGGATCCAGCCTGATTTATATTGCTGATTATGTGACTAGTGAGTGGTAGGTTGGTCAGCATGCAACAAGAGATATTACTTAGTGTGGGCTGTCATGTCACTGCACATACCACAGGTGGAAAATAATTGTGGTCTGGGTCCAGGTGATTTCTGCCGAAGATCATTTTTGATCGGCATAATATTTACTACTTGCGAAAAAGTGGATTTCCCTTAGTGCCGAGGGTCGGGCAGGTAACAACCAGTACCATCTCTTTTTTTTTTTATCGAACCCCGACTTCCCGCTTTCGGGCAGATGCACTACGACTACATCACGGATGCGGTCTCGTGCCCCTTGCAGATGCATGTATTACAACAGGAAACTGTTTATATATCGTATTTTCAACCTTCACACAAACAAGGTCACCACAAGCTCATCCCCACCTTCCTCTCCATGAGGTGATTAGAAATATACTGGTAAGTTAAAAACCCTATGTTAACTTGTTCTCGTCGCTGGAATATTGCCGATGCGACGTTACAGGTAACCTCACTCACTAATAGTCTGGACGTCAAGAAGTTTGATTAACCTGGCCATAGGGTTAATTCTATGAGAGAATAGGTAACAACGTGAATTCGTTTTAAATGTAAATCTTCACATTTTGATGTCACTTTAATGTGTACACACATGCATATATCCATTGTAGCCATGCCCTTTGTTTATTGGAAACAATATGACTTTGAATACACTAGCTGTAGAGCAACCCTTCTCCATCAAAGGGTGAGAATCACTATTATGCAATAGTATGTGAGAATCAATATCATCTGAGACACGTGTCAATGGGTTGGACTCCGTATGTTGAATAGACCCCCTCTTCCCTTTGCTTGTCTTTTCCGGGGAACACGAGGCATACGATTCCTGATTCCTGAAGAAAGATTTACATAAACTAGTTTTGCTTTTTACTGATCCCGGTTTCTTTTGACATAAATATATGTTTAAACCAGGATGTCCCCAGTATACTGCCGTAAAGACGGGGAAGTTGAAATGCATCGCCTTCTTTACTGTGTCATTGTGCGTCCCGGCGACATGGATCGCCTCACGTGAAGCCAAACACTGTTGAATCGACTTGCATGGGCAATAACAATCATTGCGGTTCATTTTACCTGCTGAATTCCTATTGGGAATGGAGATCAATAACTACCCCGCCAATGATAAAGGAATGAATGAGTCTCCGGGATCAAACTTGAATGCCACGCCTGTTATGCAAGCAGGTGCATTATGTGATTTATGCATTGATCTGTATTTTCCCACCTGTGAATATGCACAGACAACCTACAGGGGAACGAGGGTGTGTCGACCTACCTGCTAAGCAGGACTTGGTGACAAACGTGCTGTACAGGACTGCAGCGCCACACACACTCTGTGCAGGTGTGGGGATGCGACCCACTGGATTCTCCTAACTGTACGCATCAACACACAGGTAGGTGTCTTGTGTCCCTATGGCCATATCTGGTCATTCAAATGTACATTATATGTAGGAATCAACTTATTACCATGGTGTAATTGAACGATGGACATGAAACAGAGCAGACAGTCAGACAGTCATTTAGTCGTTTACCTACCAACCTATCAATGCATATATCTGATGATAACCATTTCTGTTGAGGTTTGAAAATGAACAAGTGTATGATGCTGAGGGGGGGGAAGGTTGGCATGAGATAACAATTGGGATGGCATAATTACTTATCTTAATATATACTCTTCAAAAAAAGAAACTTGACACTGACTTTCAAAATGTAATATAATGCGATTGTTTCAAAATAGGACACAGAAACCATAATTGAAACACTGTTTGAAGATCAATGTACACAATGTTCAAAACATTAATCGTGTCACCTAGACAGACACACGTACACGATACAGTTACTGTCACAGGGGTACAGAAAATGTCAGTATCGGTTGTGCCCACCACGTGCATCAATCACCGCTTGACACCGACGACCCATAGATGCAATCAAGTTGTCAATAACACGCTGTTGGATGTGCTGCCATTCATGCTGAAGTGCATCAAGAAGCGCCGGAAGTGGTTTGGGCGGTGGATTCCTTCTGCGAACGCGTCGATCCAACTCGTCCTACAGATGCTCAATCGGGGACAAATCTGGTGACCGGGCTGGCCAAGGTAATGTCTGGATGTTGTTGTGCTGTAAGAAGTCCTGACAAACACGTGCAATATGCGGTCGAGCGTTGTCCTGCTGGAACTGTCCGCCATGAACGTTGACGTGAGGAAGAACGTAAGGCTGTAGGATCAAGTCTCTGTAACGCACACCTGTCAATGCACCTGCCACATGCACGAGAGGCGTCCTACCACCGTGATGAATTCCGGCCCATACCATGACACTCCGCCGCCAAATGGGACAACCTGCTGCACACAGTTGGGGGCGTAACATTCACCCGGACGTCTGTAGACACGTGCGCGCCCATCAGCACGTGTGAGTAGGAAACGGGACTCGTCAGTAAACAGTACATTTCTCCACCTTGCACCTCTGTTGGCACCAAAGCAGACGGTCCGGCAGATGACGTGGGGTCAATACATGACGTCGAACAGGTCTTCGTGCAAAACGTCCAGCCTCCCTCAGTCTGTTGCGTACCGTTTGATCTGATATTCTGCGTCCCCCAGGGATCTGTGTGGTTGTAGACGTGGCTGTGGTACTGCGGCCTCGGAGGTGTCGCAGCCGGATGTATCGATCTTGTGCTTGGGTTGTCACCCTTGGTCTTCCTGACCTTGGTCTGTCGTCAACTCTGTTGGTGTTGTTGTATCGGGTCCACAGTGCGGAGATTGTCTGTCTGGATACGTCAAAGTGCCTGGCCACTTCTTGCTGAGTTGCTCCAGCTTGTAATCTCCCAATGGCGTTGTTCCGTTGAGCTGCATTCAGTCTTGGCATTCTGTCACCGCCTCTACTGCGGTTATAAGGACTGTATGAACAGCTGTTGATGTGGATTGTTATACCCATTCAGCAGGGGGTCCTGCATGCCTAAATGCGGGATCCTGTTCTGCACGTTTTTTACAGGCGGTTGCGTTTGGATGAAGCTGTAAAATTGATCCCCAAACGCTACGTTTATGTGCTTTGCATGTGTTTTTCGCGAATTATAGACACATCATCTTTCTGTTTGACTTATTTGGTTCTCATTTAATGTAATTATTTTAGATATTTGGCAAAAAGTGGTTTTACATCTATGTCAAGTTTATTTTTTTGAAGAGTATATATTCTTTATCTTCTTTTTGTTGGTAATTGTCATGTTCGCCTCTGTGGTCATGTCCGCAAACTTGATGTTACCCTGCCTGGCGTTCGGAATTAAGGGCTAAGACAAGGATTTGTCGGCTCGGAGTCAGTATACTGTGTCTGTATGAGGTATTCATGTTAACCTGCAGCATGGTATGTCAGGGGGCTAGCGCTATAAAAAGTACACTATATAAGTGCAGTAATCTTGATCGCGACGCTAAACCCTATTTCACTTCTCCCAGTAATTGTCAAGCATGTACGTGAGCATGATGAAAGAGTGGTATCACATCATCTTTGCAGTAAATACATGTAGTTTCCCTCAGCGGGGATTCTATCGCCACGTTTTCTGATGAAACAACAAGTCCCTTGTATAATCTGCCCCACTTGCGCAGCTCCCGTGACTCACAACTCTCTGAAATGCAACTCTAGACTATTCATAGAAATATATTTTGTCTGTATTCGTACATGTCGGTCATATTGATAGGAGGAGTATTTGTGCAAATATGCTGACTAATTGACACAACTGTGCAGAAGAACAGGTGATGCGTAGGGAGGACCAGGCGAGTGTGTTGGGGGAGGAAATACAATTGTTTAGCTAGAAGTTAACGGGGACGTGGCTAGGGGGTACATGGATAGGTGTGTCTGGAGTGTACATGGATAGGTGTGGCTGAGTGTACATGGATACGTGTGGCTGAGAGTACATAGATAGGTGTGGCTGGAGTGTACATGGATAGGTGTGACTGAGAGTACACAGATAGGTATGCCTGAGAGTAGATGGATAGGTGTGTCTGGAGTGTACATGGATAGGTGTGTCTGGAGTGTACATGGAAAGGTGTGTCTGGAGTGTACATGGATAGGTGTGTCTGGAGTGTACATGGATAGGTGTGGCTGGAGTGTACATGGATAGGTGTGGCTGGAGTGTACATGGATCCAGGATAGGTGTGGCTGGAGTGTACATGAATAGGTGTGTCTGGAGTGTACATGGATAGTTGTGTCTGGAGTGTACATGGATAGGTGTGTCTGGAGTGTACATGGATAGGTGTGTCTGGAGTGTACATGGATAGGTGTGTCTGGAGAGTACATGGATAGGTGTGTCTGGATTGTACATGGATAGGTGTATCTGGAGTGTACATGGATAGGTGTGTCTGGAGTGTACATGGATAGGTGTGTCTGGAGAGTACATGGATAGGAGTGTCTGGAGTGTACATGGATAGGTGTGTTTGGAGTGTACATGGATAGGTGTGTCTGGAGTGTACATGGATAGGTGTGTCTGGAGTGTACATGGATAGGTGTGTCTGGAGTGTACATGGATAGGTGTGGCTGGAGTGTACATGGATAGGTGTGTCTGGAGTGTACATGGATAGGTGTGTCTGGAGTGTACATGGATAGGTGTGGCTGAGAGTACATAGATAGGTGTGTCTGAAGTGTACATGGATAGGTGTGGCTGGAGTGTACATGGATAGGTGTGTCTGGAGAGTACATAGATAGGTGTGTCTGGAGTGTACATGGATAGGTGTGGCTGGAGTGTACATGGATAGGTGTGTCTGGAGAGTACATGGATAGGTGTGTCTGAGAGTACATGGATAGGTGTGGCTGAGAGTAGATGGATAGATGTGTCTGGAGTGTACATAGATAGGTGTGGCTGAGAGTACATAGATAGGTGTGTCTGGAGAGTACATGGATAGGTGTGTCTGAGAGTACATGAATACGTGTGGCTGAGAGTAGATGGATAGGTGTGTCTGGAGTGTACATGGATAGGTGTGTCTGGAGTGTACATAGATAGGTGTGTCTGGAGTGTACATAGATAGGTGTGGCTGGAGAGTACATGGATAGGTGTGTCTGGAGTGTACATAGATAGGTGTGGCTGGAGAGTACATGGATAGGTGTGTCTGGAGTGTACATAGATAGGTGTGGCTGAGAGTACATAGATAGGTTTGTCTGGAGTGTACATAGATAGGTGTAGCTGGAGAGTACATGGATAGGTGTGGCAGAGAGTAGATGGATAGGTGTGGCTGAGAGTACATGGATAGGTGTGTCTGAGAGTAGATGGATAGGTGTGTCTGAGAGTAGATGGATAGGTGTGTCTGAGAGTAGATGGATAGGTGTGTCTGACAGGAGATGATAGGTGTGTCTGAGAGTAGATGGATAGGTGTGTCTGAGAGTACATGGATATGTGTGTCTGAGAGTAGATGGATAGGTGTGTCTGAGAGTAGATGGATAGGTGTGGCTGAGAGTACATGGATAGGTGTGTCTGAGAGTAGATAAATAGGTGTGTCTGAGAGCAGATGGATAAGTGTGTCTGGAGTGTACATAGATCGGTGTGGCTGAGAGTACATTGATAGGTGTGGCTAAGAGTAGATGGATAGATGTGTCTGGAGTGTACATAGATAGGTGTGGCTGAGAGTACATAGATAGGTGTGTCTGGAGAGTACATGGATAGGTGTGGCTGAGAGTACATGGATACGTGTGGCTGAGAGTAGATGGATAGGTGTGTCTGAGAGCAGATGGATAAGTGTGTCTGGAGTGTACATAGATAGGTGTGGCTGAGAGTACATTGATAGGTGTGGCTAAGAGTAGATGGATAGGTGTGGCTGAGAGTACATGGATAGGTGTGTCTGAGAGTAGATGGATAGGTGTGTCTGGAGTGTACATAGATAGGTGTGGCTGAGAGTACATAGATAGGTGTGGCTGAGAGTAGATGGATAGGTGTTGCTGAGAGTAGATGGATAGGTGTGTCTGGAGTGTACATAGATAGGTGTGGCTGAGAGTACATAGATAGGTGTGGCTGAGAGTAGATGGATAGGTGTGTCTGGAGTGTACATAGATAGGTGTGTCTGAGAGTAGATGGATAGGTGTGGCTGAGAGTGGATGTATAGGTGTGTCTGAGAGTAGATGGATAGGTGTGTCTGGAGTGTACATAGATAGGTGTGGCTGAGAGTATATAGATAGGTGTGGCTGAGAGTAGATGGATAGGTATGGCTGAGAGTACATGGATAGTTGTGTCTGAGAGTAGATGGATAGGTGTGTCTGGAGTGTACATAGATAGGTGTGGCTGAGAGTACATAGATAGGTGTGGCTGAGAGTACATGGATAGGTGTGTCTGAGAGTAGATGGATAGGTGTGTCTGGAGTGTACATAGATAGGTGTGGCTGAGAGTACATGGATAGGTGTGGCTGAGAGTACAAAGATAGGTGTGGCT